AAAGCTCTGTAGAATTGTGGAATGGGGTATCAGTTCTTCTAGTGCCTGCCACAAGTCAAATATGACAATTTCAGGGGAAGAAACTCAGTAATGGGTGGAACTGAAAGTCACTCTTGTAATGCAGATATTCTTGCTTCAGGAACCCAAAGCAATATGCTATTCCATTACATTGAGCCATTAAGAGATTTTCCGAACCCCAATAATGTGAAGATCCCACTCTATCTATTTTATTCAGGTGCAGTGGATTTTATATTAGTAGTGTGATAGAAACTCTCAAGGTGAATTCCACCCTCTCTTCAACATTGAAATGAACTTCTACAGTGATTTACAATCAGATTATAGAATCTATATCATAAGAAGACCCCAAAGTCACCATTCTTGTGAACTTGCATTAGTGGTACATCTCAATCTTGTTGAGGCATACCACTCAAAAATGAGGTGGGCTTTTTATCTTCACTTCCCTTAGATTCTATAATTTGAGTGTAAATCATGTAAATCACTGTAGAAGTTCATTTCAATGTTGAAGAGAGGGTGGGATTCACCTTGAGAGTTTCTATCACACTACTAATATAAAATCCACTGCACCTGAATAAAATAGATAGAGTGGGATCTTCACATTATTGGGGTTCGGAAAATCTCTTAATGGCTCAATGTAATGGAATAGCATATTGCTTTGGGTTCCTGAAGCAAGAATATCTGCATTACAAGAGTGACTTTCAGTTCCACCCATTACTGAGTTTCTTCCCCTGAAATTGTCATATTTGACTTGTGGCAGGCACTAGAAGAACTGATACCCCATTCCACAATTCTACAGAGCTTTTCATACTATATGATGTATCTCCAACTCATGTAATGCTTTAATACCTATCATACTGGCTATACGACCCTAATTGGGCAAATTTCTACATTTGGTCTGCAGAAGGTACTGGGTGCACTGATGACTGGAGAAGTCTTCCAGGGAGTTTTAGAATATTCTTAGAGGCCTTCCATGTCATTTCTCACTCCAAGACACATCCCATGGGCTATACCGACCCTATCAGGCAAATTTCCATATTTGACCTGCAGGAGGTGCAGCATGCATCAATGACCTTGAACAGGACTCCGGGCAGTTCCTGGTACCATAGGATGTATCCCCAACTGATTTTATGCCCTAATATCCATTATATGGGCCATGATACCCTGATCAGGCCAATTTTAATATCAGGCCTGCGGAAGGCACTGAGAGCACTGATGACCCAGTCCAGTGTTCCACAGAGTTTCTAATACTATAGGATTTACCTACAACTGATCTAATGCTTTAACATCCATCCCCTGGGGTATATCGGCCCAATTAGGCAAATGCCCATATTTGACCTGCAGCAGGCGCAGCACGCACCAATAACTCAGAACACAGGTGAGAGGAGTGTATATCAATGTTCAGTGCTTCTCTGACCCATTCACAGCTACCATAGATTGCTCACAGGCCCTACTGGCATGATCCCGGGAATTTGGGCATTTGACCTGCAGCAGGCCCTAGCTAAGCCAATCAGTACAAGAGCATGTTCTCAGTATGCATGCATATTCAAAATGCTCCTCTGCTCAGTACCAAGCTGCTGTATCCAGCGTCAGGACAATACTGGCCTGATTGGGCCATTTTCCATATCTGGGCAACAGTAGGCCCAGGGTGTGCCATGAGCCCCTAGGGGGCCAGCACCTTGATGCTAGCTATGCCTACATAAATATCCAAGCCCAGCAGGCCCTCTACTAGGCAGTACTGATCATTGGGGCCCAGTTTCAATCCTCACAAATTGAGGGTGGTTGCTGCCAAAGCATGTGGTATTTGACCCTACTCGGGTACCAAAAATGACCCAGTTGACCACCCTGTTAGGGTCTCATACCAGTCTGCCTATAGTGTCCATGCGGTACATAGCCTTATGACTCATTAGTTGTAGATATGACTCAGACTGGACTTGGGTATAAATACTGTAGCTACTTGGTTGTATTCTCCAGTCTTCGAATTCACTTCTCTTTTCGACTTCATTTTTGGGTTGATTGTCACAAGACTGGATTTGGGTATAAATACTGTAGCTACCTGGTTGTATTCTCCAGTCTTCGAATTCAGTTCTCTTTTCGACATTATTTCTTGTTGATTATCACAGGCACACCATAGGCGCAACACCAAGTCAATGCACTGCCAACTATTGTACCAGCAAAAATCCAAGCACAACTGCCAATGCACTGCCAACAGAAGTGTGGATGAAACCAAACAGTCACTGCACTGGTAACTCAACTAATCTGTCATGACAATGATAGGCTGGCTACCAGGCATTCTCCGCACCAACTCTATAATGGCTATTTTTGTGTTTTTACAGAGTTTACTCTTGAACTATTTGGTGTATCATGTTGTGGGTGCCAGTGCTGTGCTCAATAGGACTTAGGGCCTCAATTGGGTGGACTGCCTCGCAACTGCTTGATGGCAGTTGCTTAACATAAATCACATTTACATCATATCAAGGGCTTGCAAGGCAGACTGAGGGTTGCCTGGCACAAATTGTCACAGGTAGTCACAAACTGTATACAAGTGTAAATAACATGCTCTTTCTTGTTAATCAGGACGATCACAACAATGGCATGCCAGAGTCACACTCCCCCGCAACACAGGACCTCCAGACCTGGCAAAGCACATTCTCAAGCCAAAAATCAATATTGAGCTGCTGTTGCTGCTGCTCTACAATGCTGCAGGACCATAGTGACAGCATTGACATGTGTCCTTGCTGTCTATTCAGCAGCACTCTGTGTCCTCACTCCTCCAGCTATTCCAATGCATACATCTATCCTCACTGGTCAAGGTTGGCTCAATGAACTCCTTTTAGGTCATGAGAATTGTTTTTGTGACCTAATGGGTCTTGCCAAGGATGTCTTTTGACGCCTGTCATATGACCTGCAGATGTCATATGGATTGACCTCAACAAAATATATCCAAGCTGACAAGAAACTGGCAACATTTCTACACTTTGCACGTACAGGATCCAGTAGTCAGATGCTTCAAGAACAATTTCAGCGCAGTGTGGAACCATACATAAGTAAGTTCCAATCTTTTGTGTCATGGATCTTCACATACTCATACAGTTTCAGCTCAGTATGTACAGTCACAAACATTCTGGTTGGACCATTCTACACCAAGTTCCTCCACCTTCCTCCTAACAAAACACCTCTGGAGATCAAGTCTGATCCGAAGCTGTATCCATACTTCCATCAGGCTTGGTGATAGGCTGGCTACCAGACGCACTCTGCACCAGCTCTATAAGAGCGTATTTTTGCGCTTTTACTGAGTTTACTCTCGAACCACTTGGTGTATCGTGTCGCGGTTGACAGGGTTGCGCTCAGTAGGACTTAAGGGTCCATAAACTTTAAAAATCAATAAACCGGATTCTTTACCGCGACGTCGGATAGAGACCAAGGGTTTATCCCGCGAAGCAGTTTATTTCGATCCCAAGCTCCTGCGCGACCTCTCGAGGACCAAGCGGAGATTGAGACTGAAGGAAACGCTTCAACTTCAGGACCTTTCGAAAAACCACGAAGGTCTGCAAGACATAAAACACCTTTGTATCTACCACCCTTGCCTTCCAAGGCAAAAGGAAAACAAAGAGTGAATTCGACGTTGAAGCTCCCAGCTTTAGACGCAGCTACTTCGAGTTCGACGACAATCAGTCGATCTCAGACTAGCTCACAAACCCTCTCAGAATTGTCTAGTAGCGTCACCACTACAAACACGAATTCTAACAACATCCCTACTCCCCCTGTGACTTCAGTCGTGACAACTATGGCTCCAAAGACTGGGTTCAAAATCCCTCAACCTTGGGACACAAGTAGACCTATACTTGATGAAAAGGATCCTTTGTTGATCGAGGCATATTTGCGTCACTGCGTGCAGATTGTGGAGGATGGTGGCATTACAGATGTCAAACAAGCAAAAAGTATGTACATCCATTATTTGCCGTTGCGGCAAAGTGATGGACGTATGGGAAGGTCTCGATACCTATTCCGACGACACGAAAACTGTCGCGGAGTTCGAGGCCGAAATATTAAAAGGATACCCTGAGGTATCCAAGCGAAAAACGGGGACCATGGCAGATCTAGATAGACTCTGTCGCGAGAACCGTGGAATCAAAATCACGGATGAGGGAGATTTGAAGCGTTTCGGCCTTCAAATGTATAGTCACTACAAGCGACTGTCAGTCCCTCCTGCCATGATTACCAACAAAGTCGCGTGTGAACGCTACATGCGTACTTTGGACTCTGAGTTCAGTACCGTCTTGAGGAACGCTTTGGCTACGAGTCAAGTATTCAACAAGCGCTACCAAACTCGTGCCAGGATAGCGAACGCTAATGTCCCCGTGACTGGAGTCAATCGGCAGGACAACCCCATCCAGTTGAAAGAATTAATGACGATGGCAGAAGAAATGGTGTCGACGTTGAGCAACGAAGACAAAATTCCCATAATCGCGCGACCTCCCAAGGTTCGCTTCGACTATGAGACCAGTCCACCCAACCATGCTAAGGTTGAGGAGTTGGAAAACTCGATTTCCAACTTGAAGGACTCATTTCTTCTACATTAAAAAGAGTTACAGACTCAGTTGCAGGAAGCGCTGAAGACGTTTGTACAGACTGCTCGCAAAGCGCCTATACAGTGGTCGCGGCCAGTAGGCAACAAATCTTCTGTGCCCCACTTTGAAAGTCGCGCACAAGGAGGAGCTGCCGCACGGAACGACGACTGTCGCTACTGTGCACAGACTGGTCACTGGTCAAACGAGTGCCCGCTCAAAAAGTCTCACATTCAGAAAAACCTTCTCAAAGTCGACACCAAAGGGATGTGGAGGCTCTTCGACGACAGCTTCTTACCAAATGGAGAAAGGACTCAGGGACAACGAGTAGAGGCTTATTGGAAGAAGAAGGGCAAGTCCGTCAACTTCCAAGACTCCTACTCCTTGGATCAGTTTGATAGTCGCGAAAACGACGATATGTCCGACTACCCTGAAGAAGTGGCAGATGAGATACGCTCCCTTCGTAGTCAACTCATCCAATACGAGAGGAAGTCGTCGCGACCAACCCCAGAGAGTTGTGCTGAGCCAAAGACTCAAAGACCTGCATCTGGTTCAACCAGTAATGCAATGGAAAGTGCCATGGGCCAGTTCATGCAGAAAGCCATGACCGACGCCATGGCCGGCTACTTCAACAACATGAACAGTGGTTATCCTCAGACTCAGGAGCAGTTTATTCAAACCCATCGTGGTGCGAATAGCCAACCTGAGCGCGACGATAACAACTCGGGTTTCTAAATGGTTCAAGGAAGGGGGCTAAACCTACAAACTCAGCCAAGCCCTCTGAGGACCATGATAAACGAGCTGAGCGACGAGAGAAACCGAGGAAACCTGTGATTATTGAAGAAGTTAGTGATTGCGACGATGATGAGGAATCAGTGCGCGACAACATCGAAAAGAGAAAGGAACTGCCATTTGAGAAAGTCAAGCCCGTTCTACAAGAACCAGTACATTCTTCAAAAGCGCGCGTTCCAGATAAATACCAGTTGCGTGCACCAATTCAAAAGAAGGCTGTGGCAGAAGCAGTCTACGACAAAATGAAAAACGCGTCAGTCGACGTCACTGTGGGTGAACTCCTAGCAGTTTCGGGGACTGTCCGCGACTCCATCCTGAAGGACTCTTCGAAGAAACGAGTACCGGTTCAGAAGTCCATGCTTCAAGAAACTCGTCGCGTCGTTGAAGACGTTTGGGATGGAGAACTGAGCTACAACCTAGTCAGTGCTAAGGAATTGCCCGCGCCTGTGTTCTATCATAACACAGTTGAAGGAGAAATTCCCATTGGCGCAGTTGTCGCGACGGACCCATATGAGATGTACTTGGAGTTGATACCCTCTAATGAGAACCCAAGGCATGTCTATGTTGGTGATTCGTCGGCTGCTCTCAGAACGATAAACGGACGGATTAACGCGCGTCTCGATGCGGACTGCATCCTAGACAGTGGATCCCAGATTGTCTCGATGGCCTTCTCAGAAGCCGTCGACGCACAATTGAGCTGGGACCCGAAAGTCGTCATCTATGTGGAAAGCGCAAATGGATCTATCTCTAAATCACTGGGATTAGCGAGAAATGTACCCTTCAGGTTTGGGACCATCCTGGTCTACTTGCAAGTGCACATTTTCGAAAGTCCAGCTTACAAGGTGCTGCTCAGCAGACCGTTTGATATCGTGACAGAAAGCAATATCAAGAACGCGGCCGACGGCAGCCAGATAATCACCATGCGTGATCCCAATTTAAAGACACGTTGTGCAATGGCTACGCAGCCACGTCGTGCAGACGACTTGCCGCTGATAGGCTGGCTACCAGACGCGCTCTGCACCAGCTCTGTAAGGGCGTATTTTTGCGCTTTTTACAGAGTTTACTCTGAACCACTCGGTGTATCGTGTCGCGGTTGACAGTGTTGCGCTCAGTAGGACTTATGGGTCTACTGCCCAGTCGACGACTGTGGGTAGTGTCGACGATAGCAAGGCAGTCAGACCACTACTGTGGAACTGGCCTTATGAGTCTATATCAGGCTCAGGGCCATTAGTGACGAACGCTTGGACCGCGACCATTCCCCAAAAGGGATCTGTCGTTGCGTCGACTTCTCAAAAGGGTCATTCTCTGCGGATGGGAACTTGGGCTGAAGGGCTGAGCAATGCGCGACGTTCTCAATAATAGAACTACTACTGGACAGGACTTGGCGTTACGAGACTTAAACCATCTTGTCGCGGCAACTCCCGGTTTTGAGTTGGACGTTTCCTCAGATCATGCCACGACGACGACTTGTCACATGTCAGGATCCATTCGATCACGGGACATTGTGGACGCGTCGCGGTGACACTCCCGAGTGTCACGGCGAGTCGCGCCCATACCCAAACGCACTAGACATCGATACGGCTAGATCCGTGAACCGAGCCATGTGGGAGACGACTGGCGTGCCTAGGGCCATACGGCTTCTTGGGGCGCCCACGTTGGTCTCACATGCCAAGACATACCCGTTGGCCAATCCAGCACGTCGTATTCCAAAAGTATGACGCGGTGGGTTGACCCACATCAAAAGTATCATATGGACTATGGGGCGGGGTCCTGATCACTCAGGACCTGTCCGATCGTTCAACTTTTCAATTACCCTAAAAGGCAACCGATCTTAGATAGCGTAGCTACTATGCAGTTGTACAGGACTTTACTAAGCAGCGTCGTAGACAGTATAAGTAGCACGTCGTCTCTTTGTATTGGGAAGTTTTCCCCCGGACTGTGAATCACTCTCATATCAGATTGTTTTGTACAATTTGCGTGCCGCGTGATTCCACCCTAAGAAGTTCTGCCACCCCTGCCCGGTCGCGACGAGTTGCTCCCTGAGCGCTTGTAGCTACTGTGATTTGAGTTTGAGTTGAGACATCAGAAAGTCGGATTCGCCGCATCTGGTTTAGTCGCGGCATTTAGTGTCGTCGCCTTTGGGCTTTGTTGAGATCGTTCCACACCTCTAGCTTGGCAGTGCGTCGACTAGTTGTGCTCGGGTTGTTTTGGTCAGTTGGCAGTGCGTCGACTTGAGAACTTTGGTTCCACACTTCTTGCTTGGCAGTGCGTCGACAAGTTGTGCTCGGGTTTTGGACATTGGATATTGGCTGTTAGTTGGCAGTGCGTCGACGCGGCATTTTGGTTTACTAGTTGGCAGTGCGTCGACTCAGTACTTTTGGTTGTGTCAGTTGGCAGTGCGTCGACTTGACATTTTGGTTTACTAGTTGGCAGTGCGTCGACTCAGTATATTGGTTGTATCGGTTGGCAGTGCGACGACTTGATATTTGGGCTTTGCGTCACCATCTGGACGCTGTCGCTACAAGGGATCTTAATACTTCGTATTAAGTTCTGACTTGTTATATTGTTGTTTGTGGATTGGATTAGTGTTGGTTGTGTTCGTATAGGAGATATTGGTTGAGATACCATTGTTTGCTATATATAAATTCTTGTCGTCGACTTCGTCTCCGCGACTATTGGATCTGCGTCTATTGAGAGTTGTGATACTGGTGCTCTGTCCACCCCGAAGCCCTCGCATCTTTCACACACTGAGAAGCTGATTACGAGGAGTGTGAACGTGTTTTATATTTGGGTTTACTTTCATAGTAGATTCACTTGTGAGCACGCCCTCAGCATTTCATCTGGAGCCCACCGCGAGGGGCTTCTAAAGTTTCATAAACTTTAAAAATCAATAAACCGGATTCTTTACCGCGACGTCGGATAGAGACCAAGGGTTTATCCCGCGAAGCAGTTTATTTCGATCCCAAGCTCCTGCGCGACCTCTCGAGGACCAAGCGGAGATTGAGACTGAAGGAAACGCTTCAACCTCAGGACCTTTCGAAAAACCACGAAGGTCTGCTAGACATAAAACACCTTTGTATCTACCACCCTTGCCTTCCAAGGCAAAAGGAAAACAAAGAGTGAATTCGACGTCGAAGCTTCCAGCTTTAGACACGGCTACTTCGAGTTCGACGACAATCAGTCGATCTCAGACTAGCTCACAAACCCTCTCAGAATTGTCAAGTAGCGTCACCGCTACAAACACGAATTCTAACAACATCCCTACTTCCCCTGTGACTTCAGTCGCGACAACTATGGCTCCAAAGACTGGGTTCAAAATCCCTCAACCTTGGGACACAAGTAGACCTATACTTGATGAAAAGGATCCCCTGTCGATTGAGGCATATTTGCGTCACTGCGCGCAGATCGTGGAGGATGGTGGCATCACAGATGTCAAACAGGCAAAAAGCATGTACATCCGTTATTTGCCGTCGCGGCAAGTGATGGACGTATGGGAAGGTCTCGATACCTATTCCGACGACACGAAAACTGTCGCGGAATTCGAGGCCGAAATATTAAAAGGATACCCTGAGGTGTCCAAGCGAAAAACGGGGACCATGGCAGATCTAGACAGGCTCTGTCGCGAGAACCGTGGAATCAAAATCACGGATGAGGGAGATTTGAAGCGTTTCGGCCTTCAAATGTACAGTCACTACAAGCGACTGTCAGTCCCTCCTGCCATTATCACCAACAAAGTCGCGTGTGAACGCTACATGCGTACTTTGGACTCCGAGTTCAGTACCGTCTTGCGAAATGCTTTGGCTACGAGTCAAGTATTCAATAAGCGCTACCAAACTCGCGCCGGGATAGCAAACGCTAATGTTCCCGCGACTGGAGTCAACCGGCAGGACGACCCCATCCAGCTGAAAGAGCTAATGACAATGGCGGAAGAAATGGCGTCGACGTTGAGCAACGAAGACGAAATTCCCATAATCGCGCGACCTCCTAAGGTTCGTTTCGACTATGAGACTAGTCCACCCAACCATGCTAAGGTTGAGGAGTTGGAAAACTCGATTTCCAACTTGAAGGACTCATTTCTTCTACATTAAAAAGAGCTACAGACTCAGTTGCAGGAAGCGCTGAAGACATTCGTACAGACTGCTCGCGAAGCGCCCATACAGCGGTCGCGGCCAGTAGGCAACAACTCTTCTGTGCCCCATTTTGAAAGTCGCGCACAAGGAGGAGCTGCCGCACGAAACGACGACTGTCGCTACTGTGGACAAACTGGTCATTGGTCGAACGAGTGCCCGCTCAAGAGGTCTCACATTGAGAAAAACCTTCTCAAAGTAGACACCAAAGGGATGTGGAGGCTCTTTGACGACAGCTTCTTACCAAATGGAGAAGGGACTCAGGGACAACAAGTAGAGGCTTATTGGAAGAAGAAGGGCAAGTCCGTCAACTTCCAAGACTCCTACTACTTGGATCAGTTCGATAGCCGCGACAATGATGATATGTCCGACTACCCTGAAGAAGTGGCAGATGAGATACGCTCCCTTCGTAGTCAACTCATCCAATACGAGAGGAAGTCATTGCGGCCAACTCCAGAGAGTCGCGCTGAGCCGAAGACTCAAAGAGCTGCATCTGGTTCGACCAGTAATGCAATGGAAAGTGCCATGGGCCAGTTCATGCAGAAAGCCATGACCGACGCCATGGCCGGCTACTTCAACAACATGAACAGTGGTTATCCTCAGACTCAGGAGCAGTTCATTCAAACCCGTCGTGGTGCGAATAGCCAACCTGAGCGCGACGATAACAACTCGGGTTTCTAAATGGTTCAAGGAAGGGGGCTAAACCCACAAACTCAGCCAAGCCCTCTGAGGACCATGATAAACGAGCTGAGCGACGAGAGAAACCGAGAAAACCTGTGATTATTGAAGAAGTTAGTGATAGCGACGATGATGAGGAATCAGTGCGCGACAACGTCGAAAAGAGAAAGGAACTACCGTTTGAGAAAGTCAAGCCCGTTCTACAAGAACCAGTACATTCTTCAAAAGCGCGCGTTCCAGATAAATACCAGTTGCGTGCACCGATTCAAACGAAGGCTGTAGCAGAAGCAGTCTACGACAAAATGAAAAACGCGTCAGTCGACGTCACTGTGGGTGAACTCCTAGCAGTTTCGGGGACTGTCCGCGACTCCATCCTGAAGGACTCTTCGAAGAAACGAGTACCGGTTCAGAAGTCCATGCTTCAAGAAACTCGTCGCGTCGTTGAAGACGTTTGGGATGGAGAACTGAGCTACAACCTAGTCAGTGCTAAGGAATTGCCCGCGCCTGTGTTCTATCATAACACAGTTGAAGGAGAAATTCCCATTGGCGCAGTTGTCGCGACGGACCCATATGAGATGTACTTGGAGTCGATACCCTCTAATGAGAACCCAAGACATGTCTATGTTGGTGATTCGTCAGCTGCTCTCAGAACAATAAACGGACGGATTAACGCGCGTCTCGACGCGGACTGCATCCTAGACAGTGGATCTCAGATTGTATCGATGG